CCCGCGCCTCTGAGGCTTTGCTCTGGCAAAGCCTCAGAAGCGCGGGAACCCTTCCGGTGCCCCTGGTCTGCTGGAGACAGTCTCCAGCAGACCAGGGGCACCGGAGCAGCTTACGAACGGGGCTTTCTCGCCCCGACTTCCGGGGCGAGAAAGCTCCGTTCGTAAGTGCGGATCCGACGCAAGTCGGATCCGCGTAAGTCGGGGACTGCCTGTATCATGGAATGCCTCTAGGTCAGAGTATCTGTGATAGCTGACAATCCTTTAAGCATCTCCCAGACCAAGGACAATTGGGGTCCGTCTACGCTATGACACACAGTCAAATTAAGATATGCAACTTTAGCTATGTTAATTGCATAGCTGAAGTCAAAGTAGCTTAACTCACCTTTTGGCACTGTCTACACTGCAGGAAGTCGAAGGAAGAACACTCTTCAACTTCCCTTACTCCTCATGAAAGCAGATGTGATGGACATCTCCCCATATTTTATGAATTTAACTCACGGACATGAATATACATAACTCAAAAGTGCTTTGAGCAAATTATTTCGTGTAACCCATCAATCTTCATGTCACCATCTGCTGGTTATGGGTATCTTACTTCAATGTATGTATCATTTGTGTGTGTGAAATTAGACATATGGGAGTGGGGAATACTTCGTGGGTTTCAAATGTGTGAATGAGACACATGGAGGGTGTTACCTTCAAAATCTTTATGAGCAACTGTTAATCTCTTTTGTCCTTCAGTCCTAGCAGTGGTTGGTAGGGAGTGGCCTCAGTTTCTTAACAAAAAGAACAGGGAAGCAGGGGCCTTGGTCTTTTGGCTGGACCACACCTGAAGGAAGGAGCCAAAGACCCCAGGGTGGGGAGATAACCCTGGTTTGGAGGGACAGCTGGAAAAGAGGTTTTAGGAAGAGTTTATATTGAGGTTTCAGGGTAGAATTAGCCAAGTGTTTTTGTTTCTTTTGATTTGTAACCTACTTTGCTCTGCCTGTTCTTGTTTATTATCACTTAATACTGCTTCTACTTAATAAAATCATATTTATTTTCTATCAAACCCAGTGTAAATAATTGTTACCGTGGGAGGGGGGCAACTAGTGTGTTCATTCCCCCTTTCATTGTTAAAGGTGGCTTACTCTTATCTAATTCTTTAGGGTTTGATCCTGTCTGGGTAGTGGCATCTCAGGAAGCTGGGCCCTAAACTGCACTCTCCTTGGACCTGAAGAGGTTCAGAGTCTGTACTGCTTCTCAGAGGGGGCAGAGACCTTAGCTCGGGGCCTTGGCTGGGGGAGACCAGAAGAGCTGGCCCAGCAGGACCGGGTGGTGAGGAGCCCCAGAGAGTGGGAAAGCGAGTGGCAGTGGCCGTGTCAGCACCCCGGGAGTCAGCCCTGAGAGTTGTCTGTGACCGCACCCCGTCACAGCAGGGTTACCGGCATCAACCGGAGTGACCCTCTCACTTCCAATTAGCTGTCTTACCTAGACTGCTAATTTGAATCCTGGAAGATCAACAGCGGCAGCTTCGATCTTCCTCTGTTGTATAGACATACCATAGTTATGGGCTACATCTAGACTGGAATGATTTTCCGCAAATGCTTTTAACGGAAAAGTTTTCCATTAAAAGCAATTGCGGAAAAGAGCGTCTAGATTGGCACGGACGCTTTTCCGCAAAAGCACTTTTTGCGGAAAAGCGTCCGTGCCAATCTAGACGTGCTTTTCCGCAAAAAAGCCCCGATCGCCATTTTTGCGATCGGGGCTTTTTTGCGCAAAACAAATCTGAGCTGTCTACACTGGCCCTTTTGCGCAAAAGCTTTGCGCAAAAGGACTTTTGCCCGAACGGGAGCAGGATAGTATTTTCGTAAGAAGCACCGATTTCAGACAGTAGGAAGTCAGTGTTCTTGTGGAAATTCAAGCGGCCAGTGTAGATAGCTGGCAAGTTTTTCCGGAAAAGCGGCTGAGAAGAACAAAAGAGTTACTGCATATTAGGAGAAACTAGTTTCCAACCTCTCCCCTAGTTTGAAGTGCAAGGGCAGGGCTGGCATTTGGATGATGGGAAAATTCCCAAATGTAGGATGAAGAAGCAGCCAAAATGTTGAGGGGGACAGAAGGGTCCATGTTTCAGAATGCAAGCCATGCACTGCAATAGTAGGAGTCTGGATTCCCCTCACAACTGTGATTCCAGCCCAAAAATTGCTCTGAAGTGGTGAGGAACCAGGGAAATGCAGATACAGTTTATTATTTTTTGATAGAGCTGCGTATTTCTCATGTGACCAGGAAAAAAAGCAATGGTGTTAGAATTGTGCGCAAAGTGTCCGTTTGCTTTATTTGTTACACCATAGGCCAGCGATGGGCAATCTAGGCTAGGGAGTGGGTCACAGGAGTGGCCTCCATCTCGGTGGTCTGCAAAACTGTTGTAACCATGACAGTCTCCCAGGATAGGGGCGTTTTGCTAACTGTGCTTGTGTAGCTAGAATTTGCGGAGTGTGCCAGATGAACCATGGCAGTGCTTTGATTGGATGCAAAGGGAATGCATGACTCTTACAGTTAGTCAATGTTGTGTGCAGTCAGCATGCACCTTACTTGAGATGCGTTACATGTGTGTCACTTCAGTTATACCAGTGGGACAGGGACAGAAACCAGCACTGTATGGCAACCCTGCTCAGCAGCAACAGTAAATAAAACGGCTTGCGGGACATGCACAGACCCTGATGAGGTGTAGGTTGCCCACCACTGCTATAAGCCCATAAGACCCATGCTGCTAAAGTTCTGGAGGGTGGTGAATTTAAATTCTGGCTTGAAGGCTAAGGGGCTTAGCACCATTTCCAAGGACTGAGTAGTGAGCTGTAAGGTTGCAGCTGGCAGGAGGCAGGTGCTAGACAGAGGTCTGCACCCTGAGCATATGACTAGGAACCCCAAGTCATAGACAGTGCATTGGCTTTGTTGAGACTTCAGAGATTTAAAATGCCTGAGGATTCAGTGTTTGGATCCCTTCACAGCAACTGGGCAGGTATCCAGTTTCACTGAACCTTTGAAACTCTGTAGGACGTTTGTGCAATTATTCATTAATATTACATCTCATTTTCCTTCAATAATAAAAACACTGGTTCAATTAAAAACATACCTTTTCTGAATCCTGAACATTAAATCCCATTCTTTTGGTCCATGCAAAGCAGCCGACAAAAGCAAAAAACTATTCCGATGAATGTTTATGAACTTCTCAATTCTGTCTAAAAACAGTTCTTCTCCTGTCTTTAACAAGTCTTGGGTGTCTGCCAATAGAAATGCAATACCTAAAGAAGAAATTGATTACAATGTAAGCCCAGTTTGTTACTTCAAGTTAGCCTTCTTACAACTATTAAGAAGTCATTAATAGGTAGCACTCCCACCTCAAACATTATTTTAGAAGGCAAAAGAATATAAAATGGGAGTCAATATGAATATCTTGGTAATTATGTGCAAGCCAATGCAGGTGGCCAGTAGGAAATGTCACAAATTGGAAAGAGAGCAGCTGCAGTCACCAATTTAAGATTTGATCATAAAAAAAATCTACAATTTAAGACCAAACTATGAGTTTTCAACTTAATGTTAGTTCCCTAATAACATATAGGCGGGAAATCTTGAAATCTGTGAAAGATACAAACACTAGGTATTAAATGCAGGGCCATCCCTACTCATATTCAAAACATGCAGCTGCATGGCTCACCAAATTGCCCCAAATTTCATGGTGCCCCTTGTAGCTATGTGCTGCCTATGGGCTCTGGTAGCCTCCATCCCCATCCTCCCCACAGGCTCAGTGCTTTGGCTCCTGCCAACCCTCCCCAGAAGCACCAGAGGCCCCCAGACCCATCCCCAGCAACTCGTCCCAGCTCAATGCTAGTCCAGCAACTCCCAGTCCCAACTGTTCCCTCAGGACTCAGTGCCCACCCCGACTTCACCAGCAGCAGTGATCAGCATTTGTTTGGACAGATGTCTCAAATGGAGCAGGTGAAAAGCAGTGTTTTCCCCCTAAAAAGTGCAGCTTCTCTCTGGCCGGCTCTGTGGCCATCCACTGCTCCTCCAGCCCACGGCTCCCTCCCAACCCTGCTCCAGTGCTGCCAACTCTCCCGAAAAGGATAGACCAAGCACCATTGCAGTAAACAGGGTCTGGTCCATCCAGTCCAAAAGAGTTGGCGACCCCTTTTCCCACAGCTTCAGTTTCCCCCTCATGTGGCATGGCTACGTGGGGTCGGGAGGAATACCGGTGTAGGGCAAGGACATCAGCAGCAGTAGGGATGGTCCTGATTAAATTGAATGAATTTATAACAATTGCTAATATGTCAGACTTCAGCAAACCTTTATCTCTCTCTAAAAAAAAAAGCAGTCAAAAGTTCATCACCTAATAAACCATCTTGTTAGTCTTTAAAGTGCTACATGACTGCTTTTTTTTGTTTTACCAAGATTAGACTAACACAGCTACCTCTCTCTCATTTTCATCTCTAAAGTTATCCAGAAAAGAAATTAGAAGTATGTAGTGAAAGACCTAAGGACAAAGACAGAGCATCCGCAATGGCAGATGTGCTATTGGGCACCTTAAGGAACATGCTAAAGGAGCCAACTGAAGGAGTCCTCAGACAGGGAAAACCTTATGGCTACATCTACACTGCAGGCTTCTTGCACAAGAACTGTTTTGTGAAAGAGTTCTTGTGCTAAAGATCTTGCACAAGAGCACGTTCACACTGCCATGTGCTTTTGCACAAGAGATGTGCTTTTGTGCGAGAGCTTCCATGGCAGTGTGGACGCTCTCTTGTGCAAGAAAGCTCTAGGGGTTTCTTGCGCAAGAAACCCGTTGCCTGTCCACACTGCCTTCTTGTGCAAGAGCTCTTGTGCAACAGGGCTTATTCCTTGTGAGGAGAGGAATAACTGTTGCGGAAGAAGCCCTCTGTTCCAACGCTTTACTGTAAATTTACTTGCGCAAGAATGGGCATGCAGTGTAGACACTCCGCAAGTTTTTGCGCAAGAGTGGCTGTTCTTGCTCAAGAAGCCTGCAGTGTAGACGTAGCCTATGAGACTTAATGTAGAGGACGTCCAAAAAGCAGCTCAGGTTAGACAGGAAAAATGGAAACTTATTCACATCTCACACAATGTTGATTGAACAGAAAGGTTTCAGATTCAAAATAAGCAGAACTATTTTGTCTAAATGTCACTTTATAATTGTTTCAACTGCTGGTCTACTCTGAAAAGAAACTATATAAACAATAATATGGAGTTTCATGTTTGTTGCCTCAGTGATTTCCTGGTCAAATCTGCTCATTTTAGAAACAATTTTTTGTAACTGCCAGCTCAGCAAATTCAACCTGGAAGAGAAGATCAATCTGGTTTTCTTTTCACACATTGTCACCAGAGGTGAAGGTTCTGCTGGCTATATTACGCTTTGGTGGTATTTTCAGAGATTGTCTCAGTGAGGTTCACTCAGGTGTGGTTGAGATTTAGTAAATAGTTTGATTAATGCACAGAATCCGATTCACTCTCTCTTAGATGAAGGGCTTCATATAAAGCTTACAAGATTAAATAGATTTTTGTAATTGCAAAAGTTATTAGTACACATAAGGAGTTGTTCTGCCAAGATGACATTTTCTATAGTTACCTTTCAGAGTACAACTGCATTTTAACCAGTATCTGGTTTCTGTCCCTAGCCTCTCCTCTCATCTATTCTTTTATAATATTGGTCTCTTGAAAGAGAAAATGCTTTGGCACTTTGACATTTCTTCAGTGTAGATTTTGTACAGTTTCTTAGGTCAACTCTGTGCTACTGCAGGGGGAGCTGCTCCTATACCCCGTTAGAATTTCTGATTATTTATTTTAAGAAATATGTGCTGCAATTCAATTTACTGTACCAGAAAGAGAAAAAATAATGGATCCATTTGCCACTGAATCTGAATATCGAACTCTGTGGTGTTGACTCTGTAGAGAAGTTGAAACTTCATGACTCTAAATAAATTTTAAAACATTATTTTAAAATGTGTTTGAGATTATAACAGGACTCTTAAAACAGAGTCTGAATGTTAAAAGCTCTTTAGTACCTTAGTTTACAAAATAATTTTACTCCAGTAGCAGTAATAATTTTAAACATTTTAACTGACCTTTTGAGTAACTGATTGAGAGTATGAAATATTCACATAGCTGCAACACTGATTTAGGTGTAAAATAATGGGGTGACCATCTTAATTTTTTTTACCATTATAACCAACCTGTTGGCATTAATTTTGTCACCAGACACACTTGCATAATGCACAAGGAAGCTTGACAAACATTTTATAGTTAAATCTTTCTTTTAAAAAGTGATGTACAAAAGGAAGACGTGCAGACAGTAGAAATGTACACACTAGATATTTCCTGCCTGCAATTAAGAAGGCTGGTTTGAAATAATGAGGATGTCAGCATTTGATTTGAAGGGAAATAGGTCAGAAAAGACTTCTCTAGTCAACGTACTTAACATGGGAGCTTCATGGTAGAATACCAATTGCTTAGGAAAGCAAGATGAAAGCACCATGTTACTTCATCTGAATGGGGTGGATTTGTACATATTTTTCAACCTGCAGTTTGAATTTTCTAGTATTCTAGAAAAAAGTCTCAAACAATCCCATACATTGTGCAAATGCGACCAATGAATTTTCGCATTTACAGCTGGACTAGATTTTTTTTAGACTACAACCAGCCTAGTAAATACAGTATTAGAGGGTGATAATACTTAGGGCAGGGGTGGGCAAATTCTGGCCCACAGGCCAGATCCAGTCTGCAGGGTTAGTCCCTGGTGGGCTTCCATGTTTACCTGTGCCTCTGCAGGTATGGAGGATCACAGCTCTTATTGGCCGTGAATCACTATTTGCGGTCAATGTGAGCGGTAGGATGTGGTGTTCCAGTCCCTGAAGCTTCCCGCCACTCACTTTGGCAATAGGTACAGGTAAACATAGCGACAGCAGCATACCAGGTCTAACCCTTTGGGCTGCCATTTTTTTATTTCCCACCCTGACTTAGGGGCAGTGCCACAAACAGAATAAAGAAGCATTAGATATGTTCTCAACTCTCATAATGACCTCCTGTGCAATATTGAGTAAATCTCTACTCTGACCTTCAGTTCCCTCACCTGTCAATTGAGAATAACCATCTTTTTCCTGCTTTGTAGAATGATTTCCAGTCCCTTTGATAAAAGGTACTATACATGTAAGATATTTCCAAAAAAGAGAAATAAATTCACAAACCATGGATGTGAAATAGTCATGAAACACCAAAAAATTATTCATAGATTAATCATTGTGCTAATTAAAGTAAAGCATACATAACATTTTTCCTCTGTCACCTGATTGTCATTATGACTATTACTTGTATACAGCAATTGCTATTAAATCAAGAGTCGGGACAACAAAATCATGCCAGTACAACATGAGATTGAACATCAGCTGTAAATGTGCAAAGTCCAAGAAGAGCCAGCTGATGGGCTGACAACTAAGATACTGTAGCATGGAGAAGGTAGTGACTGGAAAAGTTCTGAATTGTGTGTGAAAAGGGTATGCTCACTGGGTATTCTGGTTATGAAGTATCACTAGAATCTGGGGAGAGTGAAGGGGAGGGAAATGCCTGGCTTTACAGATACCAAAATACTGGTGGTTCCATGTGTAAATACATGCCATAGATATAAAAGTAGGGGTGGTTACACAGGGGAAAAACAAAGCCCAGAATGAAGAGCAAATAAAACTGACCCAAACCCAGATCACTAAGGCCAGCTGTTGAGAGCCTCCTTAGAACTCATTCTGGTTGGAGATGCTTGAACAGCCAATGCTTAAATGCCACTGTTGTCTTTGTGACGCTGGAGTGACACTCTCTCATTCTGCTGGACATACAGAGATTCTGGATTGTGACTTAAAAGCAAAAATCAGACTTCAATCTCTTCAACAGCCAGAATTTTAAACCAAAAATGTGTGCAGCCATGTTTGAATCTCTTAACTTATTACTATAATCTATTTAAAGTATTAACATTGTATAACAGAAAAGACAAAGCCTTCAGAGAGGAACCTAGAAGATGACAACCTCCTTGCTGGAATACATTGATCAGGTGAAAAAAATTCATATAGTAGTATCAAATCAGTAGTCTTAATGCAACACAAAAAGAATGACAGGAAAATATTTCTAAAGCAGTAAAACAGTATGTGGTAGGCATACTAAATTGGTACCAACAACAAGGGGAAATAGCTAGCAGAATAAGAGAAAATATGAAGAAAAAGGTAGATCTTCTATGGCAGCAGCAGGTTTCCCAGGTAAGGGACATGTTTTCCTGTATTTAGTGTGTATGCTAGACATGCTATAACATATTCTTCTGTTATTAAATCTTGGAAGAATTTGACAGTTGGTTCAGTGTTAGTGAATCAGTTACTACAATTGACCAATAACTGGTATACTGTACCTGGAGAGATGAACTCATGATAACTGTTGTGATCCATCTTGCATTTTCCTGTCCACCACTTTCTGCCATTGTCACAGCAGTCATTAACAATTCAGCAGTGAAATCTCTGGTAAAACTTTCCAAAAAGCTTAAAGAAAATTAGCAACAGAGAGCGAGTGAGAACAGAAATATAAGCCACCAAATTAAGAGAACACAAAAGTGAAATATAAGACACTTATTAATGGTGGTTGGTCAAGGCACAAGCGGTACCTAAAGATCCCAACTGAAATCAGGGCCACAGTGTCTAATCATTTCACACAGGATAAGACACAGTTTCTTCTCTAAAGAGTTTACAATCTAAATCCACAAGGCAGGCCATGGGTTGAAGAAAGAGCTATCATCAGAATATCGGGAGTGGAAGCAGAGAGAGATCCACTGCCTTGCTCAAAGTCATATAGAAAGTCTGTGTCTACCTGACTAAAAATGTCACAATCCAAATTCTAATGTGTCAGCTTTGAACTATTTTTTTAAATCCAGTTTGTTCAAACTAAGGAATTGTTTTGGAGAAATGTTCTTACAGTCATATAAATATTCTGTATGTGCTCAAATGTGGTTGTTAATATTGTAAATATTGCTCCTTAAGGAATTTTCAGCACCTAAGACTGTTTTCCTGTTGCAGCTGTTCTATCATTCCAGTGGCTGAGATGAGAAAGACTAAAGCGAACGCAGCTTTGAAATGTGTCAGCAGCATTTCTAACAGGTCAAACAAAATGTTTCTACTGAACAATTTAATTACCTCCCAAAACCTGCGGGGAGGTTCAGCAACTTGGCAAAAGCCGCAGTGAATTGCTGGCAGAGCCTGGTTTAGAATTCAGGATTTCCTGATGTTTTATAAAATAATCACAAATAATTACACATCAGAGAGTATAACAGGGCTGTGTGTGCTTCCCTTTTCATGACTCACCAGAGAGTGAGGCCATCCTGCAATGATTCAGTGGGTAAATTGTCAGAAGGGCCTACATGATTTAAGAGCCTAAATCTTATTTTCCAAAGGCAGTTTTGCCATTTTGGGCCATTTTTACTTAAGTGCTTTTGAAAGTGTTACCTCAAGTCTTCTCCATCGCAAGCAAAGATCATCAAGCTTCTAAAGTGACCCATATTCCTTTTCTTTGTTGTTCCCATTTGTGTTTTTGAAAGATATGTTTAGGCCCGTCTACATTTAATAGACGGTGCCTTCTTCACCTGGAGAACTTTGCGCAGCTAGAAGGAGGGCGAGGGGCCTACGCAGCCTCAATCATCCAGTCTAGCTCTGTCATCGAGCTGCTGTAACACTTTTGCCAGTCACTGAACCACTCTGTGCCTCACTTCCATCTGGGAAAGGAGGTGAGACTGCTGCTTTCCCTCACAGAAGGGCTGTAAGGCCTATTTTATAAAGTTCTGAGTAAGCTCAAGTCAAGTCCCCTGTGAGGGCTGGTATCAGGCTACTTCTGGGCCTACCTTTCCCAGTTCTAGAGGACACCCTCCGACCTGCTAGTTTAAAACAAACAAGGCACAGACCACATACCCCTGTGAGGCCTCTCAGCCACTCTCCCCTCACCTCCACTACTTTGCCTGTCAGAAGGCACTCGGAAGGCGGGACTTAGGTGTCTAAGGCAGCTGAAAATTGGCTTGTCACTCCTTGCACAGAGACGTCAGAAGAGTCAGTGCTGAACTACCACAGTGCTCTTGGCCCACTGAGCAAGAGCCAGCTCCTGAGTCTCTCAAGGGGAGTCAGAGGAAGAAAGGGATTAACTGAAAGTTTGAGCCATGTAACTCCTCAGGGAATACACGTGATAGAAATGTAGCCGTGTTAGTTGAAGCAAAATGCAGGACAATGTAGCACTTTAAAGACTAACAAGATGGTTTATTAGATGATGAGCTTTCGTGGGCCAGACCCACTTCCTCAGATCAAATCCACGTGTGAGTGACTTAACTAATCCTGCCCTTTTGAAAGGCCCAGCAGCATGACTGCTACTGAAGCGAGTGTAGAGGAGGCAGAATTTGGGCCTGTGTTTGAGGGCTCCTCCCTCTTTTTGGTACCACAGCCATTGGCATAGGGACCAAGTCATGGAGTAACTTGAGACCTTCCTCGCAGATGATCAATGTCTCTGTGATTTGGGAAGTTCAAAAGAAAAAAGCAAAAACTTTTTATCACCAAGAAGATAACCGCTCCCTGTATATGAAATGAGAAAATGGCGGAGCTCAGGAACACAACTGTTTCTCTGTGCTCTGTCTGCATTCTACTCCTATCTTGTCTGTTCAACATTGCTTTCTGATTTGAGAGGACCATGGCCCTGGGTGAGGCATTGCTAGAAATTCTGAGCCTTTAGACACCACTCTAGAAATTTCTCTATAAACCCAAGACTCAGTCTATACTGTGATGTAACCTGTCACAGGGTCAGAAAGGGGAAAAACGGAGAATGAGTCTGTATGTTGATAGTTAGATCATCCACATAGGTGGTGGAAGAACCCAGGATCCAGTCCTCCTGCTCCAATCACACACTCATTATTTATCCACAGTGGAATAACTTCAGATGAAGAGATTGTAGGAGGCTCATATTGGAATAACCAAGTAGTTAGAGCACTCGGATCCTCTTTTCCCTGGTTGAGGAAAGGGAGAAACTGACCCTGGGTCTTCCACAGAGGTGAGTGCTCTAACCACTGAGCTAAAATGTGTAAGGTGGACACCTTTTCTTCCTCTCCCCAGATTCTGAATAGGACGTAGTGTGATAGGTGTGCTCAGATGACACTTACCAGATCAGGTACTACACATGAGATAGGTAAGTAAATGTCTATTTTCCCTGTTTGTGGAGTGATTAAGAGCTCAGCTAGGAGAAGAAATGTGTGGACAGTTTGAGAGAACAGAAAGCAAATCCAGAAATAGAAACAATCACCTAAGGAAATTTATCGTGAAAAAATTAGGAGCAAAGTAAACTTAAACATCTATAGTAATTGGCAGTTTTGTGGACTGCAGTAGGGTCTAAAACTGGGACTTGAGTGCCAAAGTACCTTTGTACATCCCATCCTTAATGGTCAGTTTCCCTACCTGGAAAAAGATACTTGCCTTCTTGGGTGAGAGCGTAGAGATCTTCAGCTGAAAAGCATGGTAAAAGTTCGGAGTTCAAGCAGCAGTTCAACTCTGGCTGGTTTTCCTCATTAACTTTACAGTAATAATTTTATTTCACCTTGCATTACTAATGTGTATCAGTCTCTCATCTTCAAATGCCAGAAAGTTATAATGAAAAATTAATTGCCTATATCACTGCCTGCTATGTTGCTGGACTTCAAATCTGAAGAATTAAAAAAAAATGAAAATACATTAGTACAGTGGTTCCCAAACTGGGGGGGGGGGGGCTACCTT